TACTCATAAGTATATATTATAAAACTTATTAGATAGGTAGTAGATTTTTGTAAATTTTATTTTATTATAAGATCTAATAGTATACAATATATACTTTTGATATTTAAGTGATTTCAACCACCAATAGCCACGTCATATAATAATGTATAATAAAAATGTATGTACCTAAGTACCCAAGTACGATCCACCTGCAAACGACCACATAAATATATATATATAAACACGTTTATTTATCTATATGTTTGTATATAGCATTGATCATAAATTTTTTATTATAATATTTCAAAATGTATAATCAATGGTTGTATGTATGTCTGTTGTCTGTATATGCATATTGTGTGTATTTAGGTTTGCATTATGTACGTATGTGTGTCGCGTGAAACGGCGACAAGGCCTCGACAGAGGCTAAAAGATCACTATGCCAATCAAGTGACATCATTTAATCTTCTCCCGTGCGTGTGTTCCAATTTCGGGAAACGGACGGCAGCCAGCGAATGCCCGCGCATCCGGTCGGCGCTGCATCGTATGGTTATTGCATCGCAGCGTAGGGTCCTCGGGGTTAATGAAAAACTTACATTCTGTACACAAATTGATATGTGATATACATGTTATTATTGTGCTCCTATAAAGACGTCGGAATACCCACGTCATATATTATGCACACACACACACATACCCTGGGTCGGCGTGAGCAATAGGAAATTATTTCTGTAACCGGACAACAAAAACACGTGAATTAATTTTAATAGTCCACTAATTGACCGGTGCCGAACGGATATAAGAGTTCTGGTGATGGATCCGCCTACGAAATAGCCCGCGTTATTACGGAATATTATGTGCGTAGGAAACGGTCGGCATGGTCTCAGACATCGTCGCCGCTATGTGCGATCTGATGTACCTACACAACATTATAATATGATAATATTTTTATTTTTATTGACGAGTCCGATATTAAAATATTGTACGTTATAAAATAATAATTGGCAATTACTTACTWGGTACTAATTCTATAATTAACCGTGATTTCTGCACACATCATTCGGTTGCATTTTGACTACAATCGTATGACATGCGACTCATCTCATCGCCAACGACACTTGGAGAAACTCATTTTCAGATGGCAATCAACGCGGAAAGACTGCAGGACACGGATTATCATGCCATTTTTTAAGGATATTTTTTTGTGTCCAAGCGGACACATATTATAGTGAAGTCCAATGAACACCCAGCGAAATAAGATTTTGCTAACTCTAATTGCTGTACTAAGTGTTAACTAAATTTTCAATATCATCCATCTATCTATCTATATTATATAAAAAATCAATATCGATAAGTACCGAACCGCATTACTGAAGTATACACAAATAKACCTATATACAGGTGTCCCATGAGGATTTACCCATTGCGATATCTCCCGAAATAATGGTGATATCGAAATTCTGGTTTTGTAATAAGACTCACAGGGATAATAACTACAATAATTATTTCATATTTTAATGTTTTGTTAAAAAAGTTTAAAAAAAATATTTTTTTATTTAATTATTTCAAAAAAAAATTAAAAATAGCCATTTTGTTGAGTTTATTTTTCTGAAAATATTGACGTTTCAAAATTTTATTTTCATTAATTTCCTGGTTTTTAATATTTTTTTTAGTTTCGAGAAAAATTGCGAATTATTTAACACCATAATGTTATCAGTTATCATTGTTATCAAACCGCCGCGCCACGCGCATTCCCATACGGCCGGGCGAATACTTTCCGTGTACCACTGTACCTAATAGTTATAAATTTATAATCATATTTTATTTCTTCAAAACTACAAAAAATATAAAAAATCAGGAAATTAATGAAAATAAAATGTTGAAACATCAATATTTTCAGAAAAATAAACTCTACAAAATGGCTTTTAATTTTTTTTGGAAATAATTAAATAAAAAAAATATATTTTTTAACTTTTTTTCCCAAACATTAAAATAAATTTAAAAATGAAATAATTGTAGTTCTTATCCCTGTAAATCTTATTATAAAACCAGAATTTTGATCCTCCATTATTTCGTTAGATATCGCAATGGGTAAATCCTCGCGGGACACCCTGTATATTGATATAACACATTAACACCGTATATTTTTTTATGTTTGTTCATTTTTTTCTAACACCAGGGCGAAGTCAGTTTTTATAGCTAGTTATGTTAATTTATATATTTGAATACACAAATAATAGCATATGAACACTGAAGGGAGTTAATATTATTCTATTGGTGATTGGTATTATAGTATCGACTATTGTGGATACCAATATATATTGTAGGTTTTTAGTCTTCAAAAATTAAAAGTAGCCAAAGTAGGTTATAAGGTATAGTGTTATCTCTGCAGTAATCCGACAAGTATATAAGACAATAATAATTTCGATTTATTGAAAAATTTAGACTACGAGAAATCTATTATTTGCGTACAATTATTTTGTACACATATACAGTCATATAGGAGCATTAAATGACGTATACAACGTATCAAACTATACTTATATAACTATGATATAATACGGGTATAAATACCTATAGTAAACAATTTTAAGATGAAAAATTTTATTCAGATTTTCTATAACACAGACTTTTCACTATCGGTAACGTACAAACGTCAGTATGATAAAATGCCCAGTTTTCAATCACTAGAGTGCAATAAAAATAACATACTATAATAACTATATGTGATAATAACTAAGATAATCCGTCGTAAAAGAGACGGATTACTGATAACTGATAACGAACATATGCAGGTCTTTAATATAATATATGGTCGGATTATAAAGATTACACTATGTATAGTATCTATATAAATCAAATTATATTATAGCATTTTTTTTTTTTTTTTTAATGATCCATGTAACTAATATTTTATTATATATTGATTAATTACAATTTTTTCCCATTATTATTATAATTATTATGGTTTTATTCATAAACTAAATTAGAACACAAAACTAGATGAATACAATAATACTTACCTTTGTACCCAACATAGTAATAATACTAAGCTGCAAACATATATTTCAGATTCAGAGCGGAGCTATAAATGTACCTATAATAGTATAATGATGGTTATACAGATACAAGATGTGTTTTTTTTTTTGTATTTGCAGTGTTATCACGTTCTAGAGCATTAAGTTTGTTCAGAAATCAAATATACGTAGTTGATACTTTATGATGTAAACCGCAACAATATGGTCTCTAAATAGTTGACATTGAAAATAAAATATATAAATACTTTTAACTTTGTTGTGATACGCTGAAAAGTAAAAAATATTCATCTAAAATCAAAACCATAATTTAATGAAAATTAATTAGATACCTAAGTAATACATCATATTATTTAACTTTTAAATTTTTAACCTAATAAAGTATAAATTTAAAGTTTTTAACAAYTTAACTTTATCTACTTGAAGATTCCAAGTAAATTATCTAAACATCCTATAAATATTTAAAGAGATCTATAATTCATTACGACAGGAGAACAATTACAAATTTCAACGTTACTACAAACTACAAGTATAGTTTTTATAGGGTAAAATTGTTTTTGAGATCTAGCTTTCAATATTTTTTATTATTGTTATTATTAWTATTAGGTACATGAGGTTGTTAGTTTATAATATGCACAATACTTTTTGTATAATTATTACCTAATAAGGTGCTGTGCTAAAAAATCGCGCAAGAAATGGTACCTATCTATTCACTCTACTTATGCAGATGATGACTTTKAAATATTTAGCTTACATATACACACACTACAGTGGTTGACTTGGAAATAAAGTTGTAGAGGTACTCTAGCTACTTTTAAAATGTAGCGTCCCTAGCATTTTAATAAAACTTACATAATCATGGCGGTGGGGGGTTAAAAGCTTACATAACAAGCCGTCCCAAACATTCCCCTTTAAAAAAGAAGTAGGGGTACGCTAGCGTATCCAAAAAATTAGTTGAGGTACTCAGTTCCCCCCTCCCCCCCCCAAGCCAACCACTGATTTGTACTATACAGTGTAATAATGACTTTAACACCTCCATGATACATCGTCCTTGTTATGGTATCGCGTACACGACTGCACGTGATGTACCTTCGTACCCACTAACCCCTGACCACTGTAAGATTATAGTATAATAATNTCCAAAAAATTAGTTGAGGTACTCAGTCCCCCCCCCCAAGTCAACCACTGCACACACAACAGTGTACTATACAGTGTAATAATGACTTTAACACACACATGATACATCGTCCTTGTTATGGTATCGCGTACACGACTGCACGTGATGTACCTTCGTACCCACTAACCCCTGACCACTGTAAGATTATAGTATAATAATTTATATACAATATTTCATAGTCCATGGATGTATAAAAAACGGCGTGTCTGATATAGCTMTGCAGAGGTCAAGCCCGTAAGCATCGGACACTGCAACTGCAGCAGTGATACGTATTATTCCTATATAATCTGCTACCGACGTTCCCGAGAATTGAGTACAGTACTATACTCTACACTCTACAATAATAATAATAATATATTAATGAGACCTGAATCAGCTATTATATGTTGTATATACCAGATAAGCGTATTATAATATAGGGACCATCGGTATGTTCTCACGGCGGCTGCTATATATAATATGATAAGATAATAATATTATATTATATTATCATTATCATTATTGTTATTGTTATTGTTGTTGTCGTTGTCGTACATTTTTCCGGCGACAACGACGTCGAAGGGACACGAGATGACGACGCGCGACGTACACGCTCATACGTCCAACACAACTCGACCGAGAATCATCACATATCATATGATTTGCATATTGTATGTATCTATCGTTATACACACTATTATACGCAACCACGATGATGTACGCATAATATATTTTAAAAAAACACGCACGCACGCGCACGAGCCAGCGGCGGCGAATTTAACTTTTTACGACGACGCATCAAGAGTAAATTATTATTATTATTTTTTTTTTTTTCTGAATGCGCCGACCCAGCCCCGCACAGTTTAAATTATCATAATCTCTTAACAATCCTTAATTGGACGGGACCGTTCAGGACGTCGAAACCACCGCGCACAATACACATAGACATACAGTCCCATGGTCCCGTCGCGTCATGATCTCGCGTTCGATRTTTCAATACCTATAAAATAATATCATAACATCGTTAAACACGCATATTATTTACGATACCCAACGACCCAAGACGGTCGCGTCTCTTGCAGGTTTTATATTAAATGATACAATAATATACGGTTTCGCTCGAATAACCGATAATTTCAATTAACTTGAATGTGATTTAATCTGATATAAAAAAAAAAATCTTACCCCTTATTCCGGTCAAAAATGTACCGTCTGTTTTTGGCACTGTGTTTATGTTACGGTTTGCTGGGCTACGCGTCCTCGGAGGAAACAACCACTTCGGTGTACGAACACTGCGGCAATTTGCAGCTTCAGGAAAACATTCAAATTAAATTGGTACGTGTTTATTATATAATAGATGAGACTATTGTGTACGCTATACTATAAACATTAAAAATATAAATCAAATATTATATATTATATACATGTAACTGTCAACTGAAATGTCCAGTAAACATCAATTATGTACAAAAATATATTTTAGTTTTATTATTCCTGTGGAAAATTTTATTAAGAAATTATAAATTAGGTTTGATAAATCTTGATTTTTTTTTGCAATTCATGTTACCAATGAAAATAAATCCTACAGCAATTAAAAATGTGGAAAATATACAGCACCACTTTTTTATATGCATTAAAAATTCAAATTTATGATTATAGTTATTTTGTTGTGATTAAAAAACTATTAATTATATGAATTTGAAACTATTGCCTTTATATGAATTATTATTTTCTATAAGCAGTGTTATCTTTTAGTTATCACAAAATACATCACTAGTTTTTGACCAAATCTGACCAATATCTGACTAGAGTCACATATATTTCCATTTTTTTTTTTAAATTTTACCGAACAAAAAAAATATAAAAATAAATCATCAAACAATTTAAAAAAGAAAAAGTAGTTCAAACTTTTATTTCAATGGTATTTCCTTGTAACAAATTTAATCTATAATTGGTATTCTAGGTGTTAAAATTCAAGTTATTTTAAAAATAATTGGAAAAAAACAATGAATCATTTGGAAAATTTGTCTATGTAATACCAGTTTTGACGAAATCGACTTTTTTACTCAAAAGGGAATCTTCGGAAAATACAAATCCTCAATAAATTTTCATTAATACAATTAATAAACATGAAATAATTTTTTTGCCTCTTTTTGTGTTATTTATAGCTATGTAATTTAAATTGTAGTCTTATTGGTTTTTTTTTGCAATTTATGTTACATCGGGTGGTTAATAATTATTTATTATATAATGATTCAATAATCAATATCATATAATACAATTTTATTGTAACAAAACTTATGAGTCATCATATTATAATAGATGATTATTTATCACCCACCCACCTATCAAATGGTTGTACATTGTTGCTGAAGTAACGGACCATAGGMGCCACTGTCCTCAGGAAACACATCAGGATGATTAGCCACATTTGTTTAATTCATATAAAGTAATGAATGCTGATCGACTGACCTAAACGACGTCAGAATAAAATGTAGTTATAAGAACGCGGTTCAATCTCTTGCTTGATAATTATAAATTTTGGTTCCGTTCACGTTTATTAACTTAAAGTGGCTACAATTAGTAAAAGTATATGTATTTAGAACGACTTAAAAAGAAATTATACAATTGTTACACTTACACTTATTCAAATAGCATCAGCACAATGTTTTATTAGTTTATTACATTTAATTCTATTGTAAATGAAAGATTGTAATAATTATATTATTCTATATACCTACCACGTGTTTTCGTACCGACCCATTGGAAGTTTCATACATTTTATCAAATTATTGCACTAAATACATTGCTAAAAACTGATTTACGCGATTGCATTCATATATCATTAAATAAATAAGACATTAGATTTATATTTGTAAACACCATCATGCTGACTTCGTGAGATTTTAATTTATAAAAATCCATCCAACAAATAGATATAGATAAAAAACTGTAAATATTAGAATATTTTACATTGTATAATAATAATAATAAGATAATCTATAAAGACAATGTCAACTTTTATATTGTATAACTATAATTTTGTAATTATAATAATCCTAGTAATTGAAGCCTTTATGTTAATAATAATAAAAAAAAAAAAAATCCATCCATTACAATTTGTAACATATTATGTTCAAGTTATAAAATTAAAAGATTTAATCCAAGGTGAAAAATTGACTAAGCTTTTAGTAGTATAATTTGGTATGGTGATTTTTATATTTTTATTTTATATTTGGCTATTCATTTTACACAATAATTATTTCTTATTATCTATGTTCACGTAGGTATGATAGTTGCATGCAAATAATATTTTAAGAGTGTCAACTCATCGGTAATTTTCAACTATAATGTTTAATATACACTAACACCWATAGATACCTTATAGGAACATAATGATATTACAGGATAAACTGATTTAAACAAGAATTTTAAAATAAAAGATGTTAAATGACAATTTTTTTAGTATCTTAGACCTTAAGYTTAATATTTAAAAATAATAATCAAAAACAATAGGTTGATTATACTTAATCAAACAACATTGAGATACATTTTTAGGATTGCTAATTCAAACTGGTCCATAACTTAAAAATATATTAATAATTTTACAGATTTATCAAAAGAAAATATGATTCTATAAAGGTAGGTATCTCATAAACGTTTAATACAAATATATATTAGATATAATTTAGATTTTAAATCCAACTGAAATAATTGTCAATAAATAAATAATTATAGAATTTAAGATGTCTTATATTTTGTACTTCACTTATATGAGTATATGTCTAAAAAACATTAGTTACCTATAAAAGTATAAACATAGTTTACCCATAATATTTGAAACCATTAAGAGGATGCCACACCCGTATGTATTATCTCCATCTTACAAAATGTACATAACAGCCAATTTTACTTTCACATTAATCTATTTTATTTTGTTATTTAAAAAAATAGAGTGGAATGACCTATTGATAAATTCAAAAGTGAATAAGATTATTATCTAGAAGATTTTATTGATATTTTAATAACAAATCAAGTTATAATAATTATTTTAAAATTTATAAAAACGTACAATTCAAGTAAATTCTYGAGAACGTAAATATGCGATATTTACATTTGTAAGACGAACACAAACGGGTGTGGTGTCCTACTCTTAAAATTAAAATAATGATGTTTTGTTTTTTTTAAATCATCAAATTCTATACTGCACATCAGTCCTTGATGCAAATAGATTTTTAATAGGATACAAACAAATTAAAATTAAATGCCGTTTAAATTGCACCTTGTTTTATAATTTATTGTGTTACATTTTTTTTTTCAATCAAATTGATGATGTCATTTTACAGACATTAATATATACTATACAATGTCACTAATGTATATCAGTATTTAGAATTAATGTTTTATAAGCTACACGGGCATAAAAAAGATGATTTCTGTTTAAAAATAAAAACAATTTAAAAATCGAATCATTAAAATACCCACATACGTTTGAAACAGAGGTATCTCAGTAATATTACTATTTTTCATTATTTTTATTTTCAGATAACTGGTACGTGGTATGTAATTGAAATTCTACAACACAAAACAGACGACAAACAGTTTCATGGAGAGAAATTTGAAGTACCCACTTGCCCTTCTGTTTTCCTAACGCTGGCGGGTTCTGATACAGATCTGAAACTTTACTGGAGCGAAGATACAGGTGACATTGAATATCTGTTCAAAATTAAAGACAAATCGTCTCCAGGATTCTGGCTGTCGTCTGGATCACAAAACGGTAATAACCAAAACTAAAATCACTTATGTATATGTTGCATGTTTTAATCATTCACTTTCTTTAGCGATCGGTATACGCTTAGCAAATAGACAAAAGCGAGCCTTGAGGTGACCCCAACTCCCAAGACTATTTTTATACTTTATTTATGCGTTTAGAAAAGTTTAATTGTTGTATAAATATTAAATACKTGGGCAAAGTGCAAAGTGCAAACCACAGTTGGACATGGGAATTTTATGGACATTAAGTTGTTGAAGACAAAATAGGTACAGAGGACAAACCTTTATTAGGAAACATTACTTAAATAGGACTACGACTATTTATATGCGACTTATTAGTAATGACACTGATGCACGTCATAATACCATACACAAAAGAAAGTTAAAATGTGAATATAATAACTTATGAGTGTTGTTAGTGAACGGKTTTTACCCTCATTTAACCATTGACGCTAACCRATAAAGCAAGAAATTAATTATAATCAAATATATTATTCGGTTTTAATTTTTCAGCTGTGTACCTATATTGTTTAATTTCATATGTAGTGTGTGAGGTATATTTATGATTTTATCACACATGTCTACATAGTACATACATACATTATATGATTATATATTGTACTATATATATATTTGGTTGAAATTAATAATCTTTTTGTGTGGATTTAATAACAAAGATCAATAACCCTTTCTCATTATTTAAGAAAAAGTATAATTTTAACTTATAATATTATTCTTATCAAACGGCAAACACTATACTTAAGTCTTAAATTATAGTTTAAAACCATAAGAAATATAATTGAAGCGAAAAACTTAATTACCTACCTGCGTTAAATGTTACTAAAAATTATAAATAATTGATAATTATGTCTCGTTAAGCAGTAACCGTTGACAATTATATAGGTACGTCTTTAAAAAAGGCATGAAACGTAGGTAAAATATCAATTACCTAGGTCTAATACAAATATTTAGTCTTGATGTTTAGTTCGATTGTAAATTGTAAATTATAGAAATAATTAAAAAAAATAATTTTAGCACCTACATATTCATGAGCAAAGTTTCAATTACCTACATTATTGGACCTCGTGGCTATCAGTTGTCACGGTACAAAACGGTCATTTTAATAACTATAGTAGTATAGTGAAACGTATAAAATTAATGAGTACCTAATAATGTACCTAACCTACTATATATTATTTATATAAATTATGATATTTAAAAACTCCGAATTATCATATTACACAGGTYGGTACACATAATAATTATTGTACGTTGAAATAACAATCTGCAAAGAAAATATATTATGTGAAATTCCTCTTTTAGCRGAACCTGCTAATTTTCAATGTGGCAATGTCCACGACATGTTTTTTGCCTTTATACATGTATAAGTAACTTCAATTTCATTTCAAAGGCAAAACAAAACTTCATAAATATGTACACTAATCCAAATATAGTCTTAATTCATTTATAAATAAGTACCTACTCGATGTATAAACAATAATCCTAGTATCCCAATATAGCCTATGTCGCCGAGGATAAATCTTGTAAATAAAAATAAAAAAAAATATATTGTACCTACGTTGAAATAACGACMTGCAAAGAAAATATGATAATATTATTGTGAAACGCCATTCGGCGGAAACTAAAAATGATGGGGAAAACTGCTCATTTCCAATGTTCGCGACATGTTTTAGTGCCTTATTAACGTTTAACCKGGACGCCGTCCGTTTTGCAGGCACCCTAGTGCAGGTGACGAACTACGACCAGTTCGCGGGCATGGTGTACGTCCGGAAGGCGATCAGCAATCACATGGTGTTGACGTTCTGCTCGCCGAACACGCAGCTGTACAGCGTGGTGTTGTCCAGGGACAAGACGTTGGACGCCAAGGAACTGAAGAGTATCGTGAACCACATGCACTTGCAAAAGTTGCCAATCACGCAGACGAAACGCACGTGTCGCAGCTCGGCGTCCACGGCCCGGGCCACCGCTTGGATGACCACCGCGTTCGGCTTGACGTACCTGGTGTGGTACCTGCGCGTCCACAAATAGGTCACGCGACTAAATAATACACGTGAGGCAGCAAACGGACGCATAAAAACACACACACACACACACACACACACAACCCATCCACCCGCACACACATACTATGCGAGCGAAGGGTCGGCGTCGGTTGGGGTTTACGAGGGGCTATATTAATTCATTGTAAATCATAATAGTCGAATCGGAAATTTTAGAAAAATCATCGAGATAATTATTGTTATGAATTCAACGTCATCGTTTCCGAATGATATCTGCTGAAGCCTACGAATATAAATTGTTTCATTTCGATTAAGACTTAAAATACAACCCGTATAATGCCAATGCGTACAGGCAAAACCTAAGTGTTATCATATCCATAGGATTTATCAAATAATTTTCYACATTACAATGTAGTTATATAYTTCGAATACCAGYTCTTTATCTATTCATAAATAGAATATATATAATAATTAATAATAAATACAATATATACAATCGACGAAATCAGTACGTAACAATTAACTGTTTGATGCTTCTGTATTGCTTTCTGTATGGTATAAGCCTATATTAATAACAACCAGTATTCCATTTTCATCATATTCGTTCCTTCAAAAAATTAAATATTTTGAATATTATTACTACGTATAAGACTATGACACATATATGTGTGTATATATACGTATACGGTCACAGTGCTATAAAAATAATCAGCAGTTTCTTTATGGACCCTCTAAACCCCTTTTCACTCCGACCCTGCGCATACACACAAATGATAATACTTAAAACGATAGAAAAAGAAGAAAAATAAATACGAAAAACTCGTACTTTCCATACCCAACATTGCGTTGTCGCCCGAATACATAAGGACGGCATAATAATTAACCTACCTATAATATGTGTAGGTACCACGCTCAATTCAAGTTGTGCAATAATAGGTACCGTTACAATCTATCAATTCCGTTCAATTTGTACTTTTGCTTAATTTTTCGGATCTCTTTAGTGCATAATGATTTTGTTTTATTGCGTGCCTATATACATGCTATACAATCTACCTATAAATTATAATATTGTTTTAGTTCACACATTTATTAACGTTTAATTGGATGACTACTATTATGGCAGTACCTACTATAAAATTATAATTGCACAATGTTGGGTAACCTTTTTGTTTGTGTAATTTATCTTCTTAAAAACCAATGTATTTGTTACAATAACTACTTAGATATAATTATTATTTAATAAAATTATTTGTAAATTGAAGAAAAAATGTTTTTATAAAATTGTATGAAACCAAATGTTTATTACAAATACCTTATATTAATATACCTACATATTACATACATTTTGCAGTAATCTAAGCTGCTATACAATGGCTATGAAATATTTTATAGCTTCGCGCAAATTTGTAAACTTTATTCGTATAAATAAAAAAGCAMAATAATAATTGAACATTTACATTAAATCGAAACATTTACTGTATCTATATTTGGATACATAAAAATAGACTCAAATTTAACAATTGCCTACCTATACAATAATATCATTAAAAAAAAATTAAAAAAAAACATAAAAAATTATATTATTATAATAGGTATAGCCACAGTCTTGTTGCATCACTTGCATTATTAAGGATTTACAGATTATATTATTATATTTTTATAATGACAATATTAATCACTTATGTACAAAAATATTAAGTAATTCAATTAGTCTTTGTAAAGTCTGACGAGGGGCGGTATCACGATGATTATTAGGTAAACGATGAGCGTCCAGATGGGCATAAACACGTAGTATATTGGCAATTGGGGGTTTTGATTCTCCAGCTTATAACAAAGCGTGAATTGGGCGATGATCTTCATCAGGCATATGACAAATATTATGCACCTTCGACTACCGCAAAACACCGGCATCTCAGTCATCGACTGACACGAATTGCTGTGCACGCAAGAGCATATTATGAACAGAGCCGTTAGCGCGTCGTCCAACCAAATCGGCATGAATATCAGGTACCAGCTCTGTTTTTGTTTGGTCTGTAGCTGTATGGTGAGCAGCACCAAGAATATCACCATTGAAGCCCATGTGGTCAGTGCACGTTGAGTCAAAGCCATTCTAGAAAAAATATAATACAAGGCTATTATATTGTAGATATAATTATACTACATCATATATTATAYAAATAATCTGTAGATTATTTATTAACTTTTTATACGTTGTATATAGATACATTTAACGACTCAACGGTTAGTGATTTTAAAATTTTTAATGAATAAAAATGACTGTCATTTAGGAAAATATAATTTTAGCAGTTTTTATAAGGCTTACCAAAATATTTTAAAATACAAATGTGATTAATCAGCTACTGGATAGGTGCTTAAGTAAAATMCTAAATGACCTTTATATGAGACACGTGAATCTAACATTTTTATTTATAGTTAGAAAACCTTCCTAAAAACCAAAATAATAATTTTAGTTGATTCTGAGTTTACAAAATGTTACAAATATTTTTTATAAAAAATTAAACACAAGATAATTATATTGAATAACTAATTTTTATGTTATCAATTACGATTTAAAACAACATTAATTTAAAATTATATGATTTATAAGCTGCAATATGTTCTAACAATAACAATAAACTGAATAAACTAATAAAAGTAAGAAGTAAAACAAGATTTAAGATTTCATAAATCATAATTTTTGAAAGTTAAAAATTATGACAAATGAAATGCATTTTTTAGTAAATACTAACTCATAGTTTAAAAAATAAATTCAAAATAAAAAAWTTTTGAGGAAAAAAAATAAAATATAAGGCATTTACACCAACATTGGTGATAGGAACCTTGGTAGAGCGAATATTCTAAAAATGTAACATATTTTATTAACAAACTTAATACTATTGATATCATTCAAACTTAAATAATTCTGTAATAGTGTTATTAAATTTTCCCTCGAAATACCATTGAATAAATGTCTACACCAGTTATAAAATATTGTATACTATATAGACAAATAGAGTATCGTAATAACACAATATTTAARTAATGAAGATAACTAATAAAATAATACAAAAATATAAGAGTGACCTTAAAGTTACATTTGATGTGTAAATGACTCAAATAAAAACAAAATCTCAAGAATAAGATAAATATTTCTTTAATAAAAAAACGTATAAAAATACATTAAAATAAATAATAACACATATTATTATTTCGTTACAATATAATATATATAATATACATATTATACATGTTTATATTACAATACAGGACATTTATAATGCAGGCCGTCCTTGCAACAGAACTCCTTGCCGGTCGATAAGAGCGTGTTAATCCACGAGTCGTTGCAGTTTTTCACGAACAGGTGCGCCTGAAAAAATCAAAAAACATAATTTGTAAAGACTTTTTATTCTACAGCGAGAGTCGATAGGAGTTGCAATAACACTCACTCGTTCCTTGTACACGTCGCGATCTACCGAACCGCAGATTATCGCCGGACTGTTTGGCAAGTGTTTTGCGATCTGCAGACGAGAAGAAAACAACAATATTATTGCTGTCATAACATACTCTTTTTTTAGCTTTTTATTAAACCCGACATCCTTATCAATGTCAATAATAWTRTAGAGTTCWACTAAATTCAAATRTATACAGACCACGATCGGCACGATCTAGGTATATAGTATATACTCACAATTTCCAAGCACTTGTTGGTGCAAGTTTTCACGCCCAAAGCGTTACAGGAAGCTGGTTCGTCCTGTTCGTGCAACAACGCGGCATATCCGGTTGGCTGTTTTTTACTACCCTTGGTGATTTGGCTACTCAAAAACACACCACAAATACACGGCGTTTTTGCGGCAGACGAGGGTTGCGATTGCGCGCCACTCGATGACCCGGGAAATGGTAATGATTTTACCGACGGCACGTGATTTAACATTTCATTTTGCTTTTGAACCGGCATCGCCGACCTTTGTATGTCACCGCTGTCGGTTAGATCAGCCAAACTATAAGACGATTACAATACATATGTTAGGTTGGATGTTAATAATATTATTATACTAACATATACAAGTATAGGATACCTAATAGAATACTAGATATATTATTAGTTACGAAAAAGAAACGAATGAAGCCGATAATATGACGATATTATATTGTYGGCTCAGAAACAATAGGATGCACGGTAGGTAGGACCTGGCTTGATTAAAAGATTAACCAGGCAGGAAAAAATAATTAAGCACGTACCTATTTAATTGCATAGTGTAAAACGACTTACCACAGTGAGATCGACCCGAATGTGACTGCTAATGACACAATCGTTGTTGTGATCATCATCCTGATATAGTTTTTGGAAGCTGTAAGTGCTGTTGAATATAATACGAACAACAAGTGTGGATCGAAATTGTCGTACCTACCTACCTGTCGAACTCTGACCGCTAACAGTAAGGGAATGCGCTTGTTTTCGTTCGCACGACGGTATTTATAAACGGAGTGCAAACGACCAGAAGACTTCCTCGTGAATCGTGTTTTGTAAATACTAAATTAATGTTTAAAATATAAGCGGAAACACGGCAATGGAGAACTGTTTAATTTTCGAAACGAGAAACAATACATACGGTTCAGGAAACTCGTTCACTGCGTACATTTTGTAAACATTAAATTACGAGTATAATGACCAAAAAATAAAAACTATCCTGTGATAACAAAACAATTTTAAGGCCAACTGCATATGATACTATATTATTGTTATATTTGTACACATTTTATAACCCACAATAATGAGATTTTGGTAGTTCATTTTTACTGCGAATTCTATATGTAATATGTTCATAGTATATGGACAATAGACATATAGCATATTATACATCTATAACCGAGCTCAACGATTTTAATGTAATACGAACATAATAACATAAATCATAGATATAACATCATGAATTGTTTACTACTCTAAAACAATTTCAACTTTTATATTTTTATACACAGAAACTTATTTTTATACACTTATAATTTATATATTAGCATATTACATTTCATTCGAAAATTACGATTTTAAAATGAAGTGTACAAATCGATTAATTGTTTTTTTTTTTCAAATATTCTTAGCCTTTAATAAGCTTTACCTAAATTATTTAGAGCGAATTTACTCGCAGCGTATCAGTGAAAATAGTCGTGCGCAAATTAGCTCAGTCACAAATCATGATTACTGGCAGCCACWATATAGTCATTAGTACACTAGGAATTTGCAAGTATGTCGATTGCAAATTTAAAAAAAAGCGATTGCAACCTCCAGGGAGCAAAACTRATAACGAGTAGCAATACAAGTTTAAGCAGTTCGTCAACTTTATTTGCAGGCTAGCTCGCTGAGTAATTGCGAGAGAATTCGCGAGCCAGTTGCTTTGAATTCGTTTATAGTATAATCGACCCTCCAATCAAATTAATTTAATTAGAAATTTATAACATTTTAGGTGGTTAAGGCATGTCGAATTGTAGTTACAGGTTAGGAATTACCACAACTATACTGCAYTTATACAACGATTATGCATTTATAACATTTATTCTTAAAAATAAACTATATTTTATAGAATATTGAATATAGAACAAAAATATTATCGTCATTATAATATTATAATATGCATATTATATTGATAAACTATAAAATATGAATTTTTATTTTAAAAGTTTAACAGTAAGAGGCGACTAAATTAAATAATCCATGGATTCGAACGCTTAAAATATAACACAGGTTTTTATTTTTTAATTCTATTTTATACTGTTAACGTCTGATTTTTAGTAAGACGTTTTATGATTACGTCCGCTGTGCCTTCCATGACTACCTTATCCCCAACTCTACACCAAAATCCGCACCTTACAAATTTTCTTATGGTTTGTATTTCAACTTCGATTTTGACTAGGTCACCGGCATAACACGCGTTTGGGAACCTCAAGTTCTTGGACACGACAACAGTGCCGGCGCCAGGTAACTTGGTACCAATCACCCCGGACACCAGACCCGCCAAATAAATGCCATGTACCAACGGACGATCACCAGAATGTATGGGATTAGTGTCACCACTCAGACGAGCAAAATCATTGATATCCGACTCATCGACTCTTTTCGATATCACTACACGATCGCCTACCATAAGCGCTCTGGTGGACTGCAATCGTCTACTTAACTGAGAAAGCATGACGAGCTTTATATATAATAGTGATGACTATGAAATATATTTGACTATTTATATATATAATATATATATATAGGACATAGGTATATTATGTAAGTACTTAGTTATTCCGTGGGCACAATGTGTTGTTTGAACGAGATCGCCGTTTGAATATCGTGTTCGGTACAGAAGTCGGTCAAAAATATTTTAGCCACATTCCTCAGCTTGGGGTTTTCGCTCTGGGCATGTGATAGCATATAACCGACAGTGGACGGGTTAACGATGTCTGAAAAAAAGTAAGAAAAAATGCAATAAGTAAACGAGTTTTTAAGATTTTTTTTCGAAAACGCTTATAAATATGATACAAATATATAATGCACAACATTTTAAATTTTAAATTGTTATTTTTAGTAAGTTCTAAGATACTCGTGGTTAAAAAAAACATTTTAACGATAATAACTAGAGCCTATATTGTTTTTTTTTTATTCTAGAGATCCGAGGTTTTGAATTTTTAAAACTACAATTAATTAATTTTTCAGTTTTTTGGAAATAGTTACATTTTAATTTATTTTAACCAAAAACTTAAATCATGTTATATTATAACAACTTATAAATAAAATATTTTTGAATTTTATTTTACATTTTTACTCATTTCAAATAATAATTTGTTAGCAACAAGAAAAAACAAATATATATATACTTCACTTATTTTAATTTAAGATCAATTTAGTAAATTAATGTAAGGTATTTAATTTTTAATGAAAATAGACTACAAAACTTAATAAATTCATTAATAAATGGCCAAGCATTTTATAAGTATAAAAGTAGATAGGCACGTCTCATTGAATTAATTATAGTTAAATTCTAAATATGATAGTGYGTATTCTACTACAATACAAATAATTCACGGGGTACCTGTTAAACAGATGGTTTATTTATTTATGAGATAAATTATGTGGAGCTAATCATAAAAAAAATCACGATTTAATTTAAACTATATTAACGCTGTTTTAGTAGGTATGACATAATTTGTTAGAAATTGGGATCAACATTAGCAAGACGCATAAGCCAAATTCATAAGGGTCAAGGGAATGTAATTAAAATAATTATTTTAAGAAAAAGAACCATTATTAGTTCTATTATTATTTATTTAGTTCTAGATTTTATAAATCTCCCGAGGCATTATGATTATTATGAAATGAAACTTAACTATTTTAAGTAATTTTTGACCGGTACCAAAAACCATGGACAATGTATACAAATGTAATTTTAAGTCAAGCTTAGCCTTTTATTTAGTGTGTATGAATGTAATAATTGATAGATATGTGTWAATATTAGAAAAAAATGAGTAAAACTGTCTTAAAAATAATAAAACATTTTTTTTATAAATGTTTGTAAGTTATGACAGTTATGTAATGTATATCTTACTGTTTTTAACAAACATTTAAATAATAAATAAAGTTGAAATTCACATAATATCACGTTTTTAGAAAACGCCACAGTGGCCAGTGGCCACACCTGAATTTGTTGTCTCTGTCTACTAGTGCGTATCATGGAAAATTAATGTTCAGCTTCATAGTTTCTAATAAAATGGAGAAAAATACGTGTTGTGTCCTCTTTTGATAAAAATGTATTATCATTTGTTCTTTCAGGAATAAAAAATTTATTTTATTAAATAAATAAATAATACCTAATTAATACACAAAATATTTAATATTATTTAAATTGTTTGAATTTGCAAATCAGTTAATCAAAATCTTTAACTACTTATACGATACACTTATTATTTTAAATGTAATCACAATGACATAGGCAACCTGGCTTATCAGAAATTATTTTTTTAATGAATAAATTAATCAAGTTATAATAAATTATAAAATTTATATAGATTTTATTATTTATATTGATTGTCTGGATCTCTTATCAAAATATTTCTTCATATTATAACTAACCATACTATCCACCCTCCCTACATTTTATGAATAACACAAAAACAAATTTAATGCATTATGCCCTTTTAAGTAGAATTTTATTAAATGGTGATTAGGTGAAAATTTTGAGTTTTTTACTTTTTGATTCACCAAAAAAATTAAGTGACTGCTACTAAAATTATTCTCCCTCTCACTTAAAATTTATGTGCAGCGTGCAAGTCTATAGTACATTAGTACTGCTAAAAATCATAATGTAATATGTTATCCTTATCACTTACCAAAAATAATTAATAATATTATTAAATTAAAGTAGTTATTATATTGAAGGGATCAAACACATATTTTGTGAATAATATATTTAGGTATAATAACACCTATAATTTCATAAAAATATAAGTGTTAATTATTTAAATGTAAGTCGAGGACTTTATAACATTATATTTTATATTCTCATGACTTAAGTCTTAAATAGTTAATTATATTATATGATAACAATTTACTACCAGAAGTACAATTTAGATAGTTTTGATAACATTCTATACTTATAAATTTTTACATGTTCTAGACTATATTTTTGCTCCCTTCCCATAGTTATACCTATGTATGCATCACTTAATTTATTTAAGTAGGATTAAAATCTTGTACCAACATATCAATTCATACACATTGTCATAGAAATTTTACATTTAATTAAAATAATATATATATATAAACAAAAAAAAACTATAGTTTAGTATCCAACAAATATTTAATAAGATATTTTTCAAGATAATTTTAAAATTTCTTAAAAACAAGTCATCATAAGTAACTATTTCAAGTAAATGATTCAAAAAATATAACTGATTTATATAAAACAATATAAATTAATTATCAGAGTAATTTAAAAAAATTCAACTGTATATGTATACTAAACATTCTACATTGTATATCTAAATTTACTCAACATGACAAAACTTTATTACATTTTCCACCAATTAGGAATAAATGTCTTAGCCGTAAACCCACCAACAATTAATCGTTTTGCTTTCAAACATTCATCAATTCTTAATAGTGCAATACCAATTTTTCCACACAACCCTCTTAACTTCCCTGGTGGTCTTTTAACACTAGGGTCAGATTCATTGTAAATATCAGCATCCAAATCCAAACCAGTGGGAGTATCATCAAAAATTAAAGGCATTATTCTTTTCCTTGTAACTCCAGTGTGATGAGTCCTTGCTGTCAGTTCTTGTCCAACATAGCAGCCTTTATTAAAGCTTATACCATTTAAATAATCACAGTTCATTTCTAATGGAAAAGATTGCCCTTTAAGTAATTCACAGCCTTCAGCAACACCATTTGTATATCTCCATTGTTGATAAGTAAATTTGTTATCACATTCTTCCAAAAATATTTCACTTCTAATACCTGAAGTCTCATCAGATATGATTCTTTGACCTAAAATAGGCAAACGTGGGTCATTAAAAACGTTAACCGAATTAAGTTTCATGTCCAAAGGTGTAGAACTGAATAATGCCCAAACAATGGTATTTTCTAATATGTTAATATTGATTTTTCTTCGTAGTAAGTACATTTTTAAGTATTTTACTAAATCACTAGCAGCATCTTTTTCACATTCCAGTAATATATGATCATTTACTTTATAAACCAAGCAATCATATAGAACACGGCCTTTTGAATTCAATATCATCGTGAACAAAGAGTTTTCAGTTTTTAGTCTGAAAATATCATTAGTCATCAAACCCTGGCAATAATCATATATGCCATCACCTTCAATTTTTATAAGGCTTTTATGGCTAAGAAGTTCTAACTTAGGTTTGAATTGAGTTGTAGAAAATAAACGTGCTAACTTCATCGGAACTCTCATTGTTCAAAAACCTTAGAAAAACATACGGTACCAACTAATTAATTTAAGTAATAATATAATATAATTATATAAATAATTATTCTAATATTAACTCTCATATAGTATGCGGTCTAAGTCTATACATAGACTAAATAATTACAATCTAAAAGTATTAATTTGTTTTGTTTTTTATATTAAATAGATTAAACTATGAAATAAAAATAATAACAAAGAATAATAATAAAATATATGACAACATATAACTTAAATTAATTATCATTATTTAATGAAATAGTATTAAAAATATAAAATAAATAAAAACCGCATACTACATATTATTATAAACTTCACAATGTATGAATAATTGTAAATAATATAATTTTTCAAATCCAAGTTCATTTAAGATTTAGGACTTATATGATAAATATAATATAAATTAAATCACATAGTATATACATAATATTATGGTTAGATTTTAAACAGAATGAACAAAATATTGAAACAATAACCTTAAACAAATTATTTTTTAGTTGCCTAATATAACATATAATAATATAAAACATTTAAGTACAAAAAACATTAAAATATTATTTGAAGAATACTATATAGACCTACATTTCCATAAGAATCTTTTTAAAAATAACAAATAAAATTTTGGATATTACGTGGGATAAATTATTTTTATATTTCTTTAAAAAAAAAAAAATGTTTAACATAAAATTGCTAAATCAATTTGAAAAATTAAGTTTGTTTGATATCAAATCCTTGTACTTACATGYGGTAATTATCAATTGATTATTTAGTTATATTGTATAATTTAAAAGGTTTAATAAGATAAAAAAAAAAWRTATAAAATATTGAAAATGTGAAGCATGTAAAATGCTTAAAATGTATATAATATACCTGTATACCTTTAAAATTATAAGTATAATCTTCAGAATGGCCTAAAATTAGGTATACTAATTAGTATTTCATATCGGATGATCCACATTTACAGATTTTCAAATATCATAGAATTAATGAAATTAATTTTCATAATGTTAAGCATATAATTGAATTGAAAATTCCTATTTTTAAATTATTTGAATACAATATCTATGCTAAATAAACAAATACTTTATCATGATACTAAAATATTGAAATACATATTTAAAATAAGTTGATAAATGTATTAAATATTAATATATATTCTGATTTACACACTACAATTTAATAAACATAATTATATACTAAAAACTAAAACTAAATTACATTTTTAAGAGGACACCACACCCGCATGTGTTGTTTCCGTCTTACAAATGTATAACATAGCAAAATCTGTTTAGCGCGGGACAAATGTTTTCCCTCAATATTTATAATAGAATTTTCAAAATTTCACGCCGCATAGGTAAGAACTTTATCTGTGTCATAGCGTCATTATTTTTTTGATAGCACAAACCAATAATTTTAAGTTATTTAATGAAAAAATAAAAATAAATGTATTTTTTTAAGCTTATAACTTTAATTATATTTATGTTATCAAAAAAATAACGACACTATGACACAGATAAAGTTCTTACCTATGCGTTGTTGGAATTTTGGTAATTCTACTATAAATACAAAAGGAGTAAAGTTGTCCCACGCTAAACAGATTTTGCTGTTATACGTTTGTAAGACGGAGACAACACATGCGGGTGTGGCGTCCTCTTAAGATCACAAAAATAACTTAAACAATTAATGAGCATTAACACTATATAATATGCATGTATTATTCTTGTCTTACATAATTATACACAACAAGTCTACATATTTTCAAAGTAATTGAGGAGAATATAATGGTCCATACACACTACCATACTAAAGTGAAGCCAGAATAATTAACCACCATTGTGGCGGCATATGCAGGGCTTAGTCTTAAACCAAAAAGATAGTTTTCATCTTTTTACTTGTAATGTATGGCACAATCACACATGTGGAAAGTTCATCTCTTCAAATTGTATAGCTAATAAGAAAGCTMTCAACAATTTACTCATTTATTAATTAGGAAATAATTCAGCCAYATTAATTAAAGATGTTTAGACACATGGAAGATTTAAAAAAAACTAACAATTAAATTTCCTTAACACTTATGAAGTAAATGAGTATATAGTTGTAAAATAAATAATGTCAATATAGCAGACCGCATACAACATGAATAATATTAAGATAAATTTAAGGTTATAAACTTATTTATTTTTAATTACCTGTTTTTATCTCTGGTGCATACAAGTACATAAGAGTTGTGATACTGGAAAGTATTATATTGTCATCATTTATGCTCAAATTTTTTTCTATATTTTGAATACCACCATTTCCAATGATATAATCCTTATTGATGGGATCTGAAAATATGCAAAGATTGAAAATACATATGAACTAAGAACAAATGGAGAGCTAAAGGTACTGTTGAGAGGACACTACACAGCGTTTATTGTTTCTGTCTTACAAGTGCATAACATAGCATATACACGTTTAGTTTTGTAAGTGTAATAATTATATTAAATCAACCAATTATGAAACTTAATTATTTACTTAACATTATTAGTATTTCTGATAATCCAATTTTTTAGCAAGTTATGCTTTTATAACAAAGCATAAATTAAAAATTATTGAAACTGAATTATTGTTGTTAAATTCCATACATAAAAATAAATAATGTTCTTATCATCAAGTTTTATAATAAGTTGATTTACTCTAATTTTTAAATTAAATAATCTAAACTTGATCTGCTGAGAGTAAATTTGGTTTTTACGCACTAATATTACAGATACAAATATAGTGTAWCTATATAGTATCCTCTTAATATTCAGATATAAAAGAAGTTCTCAGAGACCAGTGGATAACCTAATATTTTATATAATTTCAATATTATCTTTCATCTTTGACATAATATGGACATTAATAAAATATCCTGTTTATTACACTTCTATTTTGTAAATTATTTTTTAAACAAAATATCTAAGATATGATTACATAAAAAGAATCACTAAGGATCACTCGCTATTATTTCATGAACTAAAAAAAATAATTCTGGAATTTTTTAAATACTAAGAATGTAGGAATATAATAAAAGCTAGTGACATAACTATGTCTCAAAAAATTCTACTGGAACACCATACATAACTTCTTTAATTGATAATATCCCAGAAAATTAGGATGATTGGAAAACCATACCTAAATGTATTATTTTAATCGGAAAAAAAATGGAGTACAAGTCATAAATAAAATTAAATATACTATATAATAATCATTACCATTGACTAAATTACAGAGTCCAGCTGCTGCAAATGCTATTAATTGATTGTCGTCAGAAGTCAATTGTTCTAAGAACAAATCGATTACCTTCTGAGAACGTATGTGCAGATAATTGACAGGATCATATGCAAAATTGGCAAGGTTGGCCAAAACTTGAAGCTTCGATTCTAAATAAGTTAATAAGTACATAATAATATAAAATTGGGCTTATTAGGACGTCAGTAGTATTTTATACCTGCACTGTTGGTTTTTCGGAACTCTTGAACTAGTTGTTTCAGGAACTCTGGCCGGTTTATTCCATCAGCCGGCGTCCGCTTGATCAAATCCTGTGGTTTGTGAAACATAAATAGACCACGGCAATGAGAAACTGTGCAATCTTATTAACATTTAGCCTACATTAAAATAATCTTATTATTATATTGTGTTAACTCTATGATTACATGGGCCAAGGGAGTGGACGTGAAGTGGTGCACTGGTGCTGCAGCGGACGTACGATAAGAACGTTTGTTCTGTGATAAGAATAAGAAGAACCGTGTTATCACTCATCATCGACTCCRTGCCTTACAAAGTAAACCTCAACTCGGTAATAACAATTATCCTGTGTCAACTACCACCGTGGTCTGATGATAACCGTAGTACTGTGATAACGTGGTGATAGCCATAGTACTGTGATAAACTGATAACCGTAGTTCGTAATGTAATCGTACGATCGTCGAGCGCATGGAACGACGGCCGGCAGATGGCAGTCCGGTCGACTGCCGCAACCACTTCCGTCGGTTTGAAACACCGACCCACCACCAACTGTTGAAAGTTCATTTTCGCTACGCCGACAGACGTGCGCACTCGCCGCACGAATACCCATCATMCCGCCGGAGTCGCACACAGAATTGCTTCTTCATTTGTTCTCCCCTTTTTTTCTTTCACTCTTATCTCTTTTCGTTCACTTCGTTTTGGCTGTCATTWAATTAATTCTTATTACCGCTTCAAAAAACTATAATATCACTATTCACTCCACTTAAATAAAACCTATAAATCTGTGTATCGCGACGACGTGAAAATAATATATTACCGGTGACGGCGATCAGCAGTTACMTCACGAATTATCACCTACGGCTGGCGAAATAATTCACGAACGAGCATCGGAAATGAAATGCAAGTTAGATTCGGGAGCGTCTTCGCGCCTTTGGTAAGTTGAATATTATTTTTGTATTTCCAACAAGTAACCCCCCCAAAGTAGTACTTGTTTCGGATAGCTTTGTACGTGTAACCACAGTACTCGAGGCGTAGTGTTATTACCCATGTTAAATGTTTATAATATATATTTGTGTTAGTTTATTAATAGTTATTACTAGATATTATTTTATTATCCTTTCCCGTTTTGCGTTTGTAGTGACTTTTTTACTGTCGTCGATCAAATTGATATCTCTTTATTTTATCCGAAAYCTCATTATATAATTTACATATGTGTGTGTGTGTGTGTGTGTGTGTGTGTGTTTGTGTGTGTGCGTGTGTGCATTTTTTTAACACATTCGAATTACATACACAATTACGTACCACGAAAATACTTGTGAACAATGAACCCTGTTCGGTGGATTTTATTATTATAAATTCTAATGTCTGATAATCATATTATTATGTATCTCTGAAAGCTGTTTAATAGTAGTATTATATATATATATACGTCGCTGTTGTAATTTTAATTGGTTATAAAAATACATTTTTTAAACGTCTACATGGATTTTGGACGGTTGATAACGACGTCCGCTCTCGTCATTGGGGTGGTTAGCGGAGAGTCGAACTGGGTTTCGATGTTTATTTTTAGCGGAAGCGTGCGTTTATCCCGGGTGATTAACCCCCGGTTTTCGATTAGATGAACGCCGCTCAAACTCGCGCGCTTGTCGTGACGTGTCCGTGTGTGATCGACCTGCGTGCGACCACCAGGACACATGGTAGCGGCGAAGTCCGTCGTTTAGGAGTTGTAGTGTCCTTTTTGGGCTGGTTGTACTGGCGCGTGTTGCCCTTGACACAAACTCGATCCGCGGCGGCGGAAGATGGGTAGGTAGGCAGGCACTACTATTATAGGTAGTAGGTACTTTAAAATTTACTCGCATCGTTCATCCCGTCCGGTACGTTGACCGGACCGGACGCCCGTCGTACGTGTAAACGCACCCGCAGCCGCTGYTGCACGTGTCAACGGAACTTATCGGGCGGCACACAACACCGACCAGGCGCCGCCGTCGCTCTACCCCGTCGGTAAAAATKTATTTATAAATACTGCCGACGATTGCCAAAAGGCCAAGGGAACGAAACGTACATAACGTAATATATATGTTACAACAATATTTTATGTTTTCGAAATTTACTCTCTACTTCATCTCTATATGCGTCTTTCTTTCTCGATTCGCGCGCGTCCTTCGTCATCGTTTAATATTATTCGTTTTATACGGCCGAAGACACCTCGGCACATTAGCAGCGGTCGTTAGCGCGCATTTCTACTCCTTTTTCACCGTGCCCGTGTTGTTTTAGTGATCGCCGCGCTAACGACCCCGTTTCGGTTCACGTATACTTGTATGTGGACGACGTGTGCATATTCGGATTAATTAATAAAACTATTATTACCACGTTTATTGTTTTGTCGTGCCGATGYAACCCTGAACCCCCTCCCCATTCCACCCCACCCATCGAACACAAGTACGTCGGAATGTGTCGACGTCGTGGTTAACGACGCCGCAGCCCTTCAACGTGTGTAATTAATAGGTACATCACTTAACGAATTCTTTTGTATATTAAGTTGACAACACTTAAAAAAATATTAACATTCACACTAACTACAGTATTATATGAATTAGTATACCCTTAGCAATTCCACGACGCGTTTATTATTTCTTAATGTTCGATAGTTAAATATTTATCAAACGGACTATGAAACGAACATTATTAATATGATTTACTTCCTATAAGCGGTTCGGGGAAAAACAATAGCAGACACTTGTTAGCGAGAGGGGAGTTGGGAGACCACAAGCCCAACGCCGAACGTTATACACTATGTTGTCTACAATATGTGATARCTACACGGCATGCTTCTTTTTTTTGTCAATTTTGATAAACATAGTCATTAAATTCGCTCTTTCGATTTTTTTTCTCGTTTGATTACATTTTTGGAACGACATCGGGTGAACTAATCGAAAATTAATAGAACGACCCAGTGCCGGGAATGATAAGCAAGCTGCCGTGACTCATGGGGAGATAGGAAAAAATTCGTGCCATRTCTCGAATCCTCGGAACGGAGCATCAAATAATATCGGTACGAGCGTTAGTAGTGATACTATAAATCAGTGTACCGAAGAGGTCGAGATTACGGTCCGTMAAAATTATTTGTCTCATTAATTCAGAATGTGTAGTTGATAATATCGCGTGGAAGTATTCGTGGGCCTTGAAAAAAAAAACTGTAAATAGGTATCTTCTGTCGTGTAGGCCTCGTGAGCGGATCACTCGTAAACGCCGCGTGTCCCATTTTTATTTTTTTTATCGCAGAAAACCTCCTAACTATTAATACGATAATAACAACGACAACCGCGACGGGCTGAACCCCCATGACGACACTCCACCAGCCACTATAATATTATGTCGTATATTATGTATCKTTAAATATTTGTAGGGCGTTGTTGTATAACCACATGTATATATATTATTTTCTGCCACAGTGTTCGCCCTGTATAATATTAATAATAATAGTATAATTATGCGTCGACTCGATGACTACTCCGGCGGTGGCGGTGGTGGTAGTGGTGGTGGTGGTGATGATGATAACGCGTATGAAGCACGTCCAACATGGCCAGCAACGGCACTACGGCAGGCTTATTAAATATACACAGCGCGTTCGTTCCCCGATAGGGCAACTGGTCAAAGTGCACAACTATTATTATTGTTGAATATTACGCGCCGCGCGCACTCGCTTGTTGTGCGTGTGTGTGYGGTGCGTGGCGCGTGCAACACAACCGCGCTACAATATTATGTATATAATACTACTATTATAAAATATTATACTCCGCGAAAGTAATATTATTATTGTCATACACACTAGATTTTAGGGGAGAGGCCGCGGCAACGTGTTCAGTTCGCCGCATTGCCATATCGGCCCCGAGTGACCGGTTCGCGGTGTAGAACGGCAGCTTATTCGCCATGATATTAATATTATGGACGAGGACGAAAAAACAACGTCGCGCGCCTGGAGAGACGTGTCCCGAGCCGTTTGTAGTAGTAACCCTTCAGCAGCGACGACAAACGTTGTTGTTATAATAATTTTTGTATCTACTACGGTTTCCGTTCCCAGTCGCCGGGCCGCTGCTTTTCTCGGGATGCTGCGACGATCGTTGTAACAGCGAGCGACGGCTAGTACGTTTTACGATCGTCGTAATAACCCCGAACGCCGCCGGTAATACACGCTGCTAGTGTAATCGCTCGGTGAAACGTGGTCGCGATAAATGCGATTTAATTGCACTTACGCCGTATGTTTTTCTTTATTTTGTTCTATTCCCTACCAATCATAATATTATTATAATATATCATGCATGCAGTCTTGTAGTTTTTAATAATAGCTTCTCGAAATTCAAAATTTACKTAGCATGTTTTTTAACAACACCACGTTGCGTRCCCGTACAACGTGGTGAAGGTGATATTATTACTGATGTTTAAACGGTGCGGTGCAGAGTACTGTAGTCTGAAATACATAACTTCTTATCTTTCTGTAGTATCTAGATCTRTTACATGTATTCTAAAACCTATGKGCTGTGATAAATAACAAGTCCTATTCATTTAATTTACCATGTTACTTCCTTAGAATCATATAGGTATTTTCTTCAAACTTGACTGCATTGTGCAACAATTGTGTCTTAAAAATGTTCCTTTTTATAGGTAAGTATACTTGATTATGTCTAGTAATTTCATTTGCAGTAAAATATTTAAATCAAAAATTATCTTACCAGTAATCTGAGTCAATATATACATATGTATAAAGTTAAATATTATTTTTATTATATTTATTTACAATTTTGATAATAATCATTATCTATTGATTTTATGATTTACTAGGTAGTTTATTATTCGTTTATAATTTAGTAGCATATTAATTTTCATATAAATATGTTGTAATGATCTTTCATGAGATGTTTCATTAGTTCAAAATATTTTATCTTTTATATTGCTTAAACGTTTAAACGTTTAAACTATTATATCTTCATATAACTGCGATAAAAATGTAATATTTTATACCATGTCTTAACTAATAGTAATATAAATAATATTCTGCACTGTGCATAAGAATTATTWTSTTCAGTTTATAAAYTACAATAACAGTTATGCTTCTTATAATATTGCTAAAATTCAGTACTATTTCAGACATATGATTTGACTAGACTATATATTTTTTAAATATTTTATTTTATGTGTTTAACTAATAATATTTTTCCCTTTAATAATATACTGAATTTTCATTG